AGCAGGGGGAGTTAATTTTAGTGGCTTCTTTCATGCGAAACAAGCAACAGCAATTCCAATCACGATAATTTCTGGTTCAATTTTGTAACCTTCAAGATTCTTTGAGGCTAAACGATTTGCAAAGTAAACAAATACCCAATCAGTCAATGCGAGCAGTCAATGCGAATTGTGAGCTTTCAGAAATTCATGCTCACATGAATCGACAAGCATTAGCGATAATTTCTGATTATATTATTAACCTTCAAATTCTTTGAAGCTAAACGAATTACGAAAGTAAGGAAGGACAACAAGTACCCAACCCACACACGGTGTAACTGAGAGAAATCTTGCAGGTTGAGAAGTGGGTGTTTTAGATGAATCTTCAGCAACCTCTATCAGGGTGTGTTGGATATTTTGTCGATGCTGCAAGAGTCTCCGCCACTTTCCTTCACCTTCACCCTGCAGCAACTCTTGGTATTCGGTGCTTCCTCTACTTTATCTTTCCTCCCACAACATCCTTGGGTTCGGTCCTGAACCCCAAGTTCTTCCCTCCTCTCCAGAAATTCAGAGTTCTCCTTCCAGACCTCTCCATTAGTATAGACTTCCTTCTTCCATATTGGAACTGAAGCCTTCACCTCATCTATAATAAATTTACAAGCATCCAGTCCATCTGCACGGTGAACAGAAGATACTGCAATGAACACACTTATATCCCCAACAGGAACTGGGCCTAAGCGATGAGCAACAGCAATTGAATTGAGATTCCACGATGATCTTGCAGAAGTACAAATGGATTTGATGCAGCGTACTGCCATTGGAATGTATGCTTCATATCTTAGCTTTAAGACCGTTTTGCCTTCAAAGGTGTCACGGGTTGTGCCGGAAAAAGTTGCTATGGCACCGCATTGTGGTGAATGAACATAACTGATGTATTTGATGATGTCAATAGGATTATTCTCTTCCAAGATTTCAATTAGATCTCTCTCATCGGCCATATTGACCATTGATTCTTTTTAACAGAAAAGCATCCTGAAATTATCTTTGCAAAATTCGTTAAAAGATAAGGAGATATCAGAGTGCTAATCTAATAACTCGGATGCAAGT